TTTTTTTTTTTTTGAAAGCCCGTTGCTCTGCATCTGAATGGCTATGACAACATCATCGGCAAGCATTGCGGGTCAAAAGGCTTGAAAAATTAAAACCAAAGATGAATAAACTATATCCTAAGGATGTTAAAATTGAACAACCGTCGTTCGAAAAATACCTTTTCGTTGCAAAGATGGTATGGAAGGAAGTGTTATTAGTTACATCATGAAGAGGGAACAAGTTCGAATACAAGTTTTGATATAGAGAAATTAACAAAACGAAAGTAATCGTTAGCTCCATCAAAAAGTTTACTTTTTATCAAATTTAAAACCTCGTAATTTCTATATTTTTAATATAAAGCGATAATTAAAAAGTACCGTAAATCAAAAGAAATTAAAGTGTTCATATTCTCTTTTCTTCTGTCCGCGTGTTGAATGTTCAGCCGAAACCTAAGCCTAGTAACGTGCTGTATCCACCACCTTAGAAATCTAGATGAACCTTCGTACAACTAGAAATTAAAGACTACGGTCTTTTTGTGCACATCAAATGCTGGACCTTGACAAAAACCAATCTTTTGTGTTGACAAGTCAAGTTAGATCGACAACAAAGCGTCCCATGTAGTGATATTTCAATGATACGTGTCAATACGTCCCAAGAAATTAAAGCTATACATGTTCAAAATTGATTACACATGGAACCAATCTACTATGTACCACCTCCCTCCTCAGCTTTATAAATGGTACAAGATCTCAGTCCCTCAATCCACCACAAAATCTTCATTCCTCCTACACCTTCCAAAAAATGGCTTCCCTTTCTATCAAAAAATCTCTACTAACCATCCTTCTTGCCTGCATTGTCTTTGCCACGGCTCCCGGGAATGTGATGGCTCAGTCTGTGGACAGCATTGTCACACCCCAATTCTTTGATGGCATCAAGAACAATGCTCCCGCAACTTGTGCTGGGAAGAGCTTTTACATCCGGGACGCCTTCCTTAGCGCTCGCAGTTCCTTCCCTAACTTTGGACAACTAGGCCCTGCCGATGACCACAAGCGCGAGATCGCTGCTTTCTTTGCCCAAGCCTCACGTGAGACTAAACTCCACCATGCGGCTCATTGGGTCGCACTCCTCAACAAGGGGGATGAGGCTCACCCTCATCTGAAATCGAATTTTTTGTTTTTAACAATCAACTAACTTAATCTATTAACTATTGTTCTTGTCAAAAAAAAAAGAAAAAAACCTCACATGAGACTGGATGCAAGTATTGCTCCATCCATTCCTTTTTAGGAGACTTAGTTTTTTTATAAATAATAAAATAGAGATATAATAATAATTTACTGATAAAATTCTATCTTTATTTTTAATTACATATTATATAAGTAAAATATTTTATTTAATATAAGTTGTAATTATTTTTTAAAATAATAAAAAAAATAAAAATAAATATATTAAATAAATTTTTTTTTAAAATAAAATAATTAATTAAATTTAAACATCTCAAATAAAAAATTAAATATATTAAAATTTAACTAATAAAATAACAAATTATTTTGACTCCTAAATTTAACTCTTACTTTTTTTTTTTTTTTTTAACAAGGTAATGGTTAGGAAGTTAGTTTTAATTAATTGTTAATAACTGAGGATTCAATCTCCAGAGTGGGTGAACATTTCACCTCCTCAAATGAGGAGTGCGGCCATCGAACTGTTTTTTGATGGAGTTCATGACGGTGATAAAATTTAAAACTTCAACTACCTCACCCAAGTACTTAAGGTTTGAAGTCGAATTATTAGATCTAAAGGTCATATTTAAATTTAACTATTACTTGATAACTTAAAATTTTAAGTTTAACCATTTTTTTAACATTTAATTTTAAAATCTTATTTCCTCTCACTTAAAACGTGTGTGTATATATATATATATAAATATAAGTATTAATGCTCCTTTTTGTCAGCTTTTTGTTACACTGAAGAGATTGACAAGAGTAACACCTACTGCCAATCAAGCACGGAGTATCCATGTGCTACGGGCAAGTCCTACTATGGCAGAGGTCCACTCCAGCTAAGCTGGAACCTGAACTACGGAGCAGCCGGAAAGGCTTTGGGGCTAGATTTGCTGACCAATCCTGAAACCGTGTCCACTGACCCTGTTGTGTCATTTAAGACTGCATTATGGTACTGATGACCGCAGTACGTCCTGTGGTGGGGCAAGGGTTTGGTGCAACGACTCGTGCTATCAATGGTCCAGTTGAATGTGATGGAAAACGACCTGATCTGGTTCAGGCCAGGGCTAAGCTCTACACCAGCTACTGTACCCAGCTTGGTGTTTCTCCTGGAACCAATCTCCAATGTTAGGCTACCACATACCTTTGTACCAGAAAATAGGAATACTACTTTCTTGAAATAATGTTAGAGAGGCTTGTTGTGAGGCCTGAAATAAAACGAGATGTTTAATTATGAAAAACATATTTGAGATTTCTAATAAAATGTTTCATTAATGAAAAAAGAGTAGGATTTCGTTTTAATACAATAAATGAAATCATGTCAGTTCTGCAACTTGGGGGCAGAAATTAATGAGCATCTGTTCTTTCAGTGGCAGC